ATAGGATGGAAGAAAACAGATCAGTTGAATCATTCAAACACATTACTTGTTTGGCTACTGATTCCAAAAGCTTCAGTATGGTCGGGGATGGGTGTCTTGGGTTGCGGCTGGTCACCCTTCCCTTGTACCTCGCGAAATGCTCCCATACGACCAAGTGTCTCAAATAGCCTCTGCTGAGAAGAAGCCCTACTCACTGCCTTCTCGTGGCGGTGGTGTTTTCCCACCAAAGTGAGAGGACGATAAGCCGACATCCGGGGCTATAACCGGGTTGGTGGACCACTGGCAGTTCACCTACGGGAGTTGGCCGAAAACCCTGATTCCAAACTAAACAAGGGGCGTACGAACCACACCCACACCTCGGTTGTGACAGTGGTCACCAGCTTAATTGGGCATTCAGGTGTATTGGGCACCTTGGACGTTTGACCCCGTCCGAAGGGCGAATTATCCGATGAACTGGACACCGCCCCCCCCCCNGGTTTTCACACACCGCCCCACTGCCTTGCGGGACAGGCTTTGATTGGCCAAAGGCTCCGGTTGTGGATTCCTTAAGAAAATTCACCTGCCTTGGCCTGGGCAACCTGGCATTATTCAGACCACAAGCCATGGAACGCTATTTTAGCAAGACTATTATACCATGATTTACCTGGCACACAGTCTGTCTTCAGACAGGTGTGAAATATAATAATATAATAATGTTTGGCTACCAAAAAAACATGTCAGTAGAGTGGCAACAAATGCACACACACATAAATGGGACTGACCGGTCTTTGACTTGTAACAGATAACCGACCAGACAATAGGCAGCACAACTCTCCACAAAATTGCGCTGGGATGTAAGAAACGCCTCGGAATTGGACGGACCATGTTCTCTGAGGAAGTAGTCTTTCAACGAGAGCCGCGCGTGCCGTTTGATCTGATGCAGGGACACAGTGTCCGGGACGGGCTCGATCAAACCGCTGTCAGGAGAAGTGACAATTACGGTGAGTGGACGAAGCCAGAGTGGAGCATATTCTGCCCGCCAAATGCGCTGTCCGCGGGAAGAAAGAAGGGGAGTGGAAGAGAAGGTTACGGGATGTGTGTGTGTGTGAACGTACTTTTAAAACGGATCGGGCTTATGGTAGATTACGACAAACTCATGTGACTGCCTCTAACGCGTCAGAAAAGAACGTCGAGTTTGGAGTACAGTTGATTATCAAGAACGAAAACCGAATCGCAAACGTATTTTATGTAACAATCTGAAATACGGCGAAGGAGCATCTTCCTACTTTCATATTCACGCACAACGATGAGCGCTGAATAGAGTGAACCTCGAATTTAGTGCTACAAGCACTGGGGATTGCGCGTGAAGACACAGTTTAGAGGACAATTAATTCAAATCAATAGCATTAGTCTCCTTCAGAAGTAACCTTGAGTTGAAGATAACATTCTGCTCACAAAATGCATTACCATGATGAGCATTCGAACGGGTGAATTCTTATTCGTTTACAGGCGTTGGCGAACTAAGCGCAGTAGCAGCAGTCCCCAAAATGACCGGAATAGGATAGGCGTGGTATTGAGCCTGCAAACAAAAATCGGGCAGTGGTGGTGGTGGCGATGGGGGCGGCAAATTTTAAACCTTAGGCACTTGGAAAAAAGGATAAATTTTGATGCACTGTTTTACAAAATCTCCAGGTGATCAAAAATTGAGAAGGGAAAACTCTGGTTTTTCAACACATTACTCCATTTGAAATACCAGCGCATCCGATCAAACGGTTCGTTTTCCATACTGGCTAAAATAGCGTATTCCGATACGTACAATCAATCCAATCCGACAATATCAGTTGTGTTGAAATAAGTAGTGATTGCGGGATTTCGCGACTGTACAGACACCAAGATCATTGTCGGCGAAATTATGCACAGATCGGAAATCGGGGGGAATACGCGAGCACGTGTATTGACGAGTAACAGAGAAAAGAATGGGGAAGAAATACACAACTTTAGTTCAGACCCACAATGAGACATGACAGATCTAGGGTGTGGCTAAATATGAAGTCGGGCTAGTCATGTGAAACAATCAAGTCTGACAACAGTGGTTGGTTGTGCCATTCGGTTTCAATT